AGGGGGAGCCGCTCATTCATTTTTACTCCGCATTTCTGTCCCTCCCCGGCCTCGCCCGCGACCTAGACTTCGGGGCAGTCTGGTGAACTGCGTCGCGCTTTCCCAGCGCGGAGGCTGGGGCGTCCGGCAGCCTCCCTCTCAGTCTGGGGGTCGGGTTTGTTTGTCCTCGCCGAGACGGATTTTGGCTTTGCCCCCTTTCTTAGCAGTTTTACCCGTCTTTTGCCTCTCTGGGTTTGAAAATGGAGGCCGACGACGCCGACATCCCGCCCCGGCGCGCCTCGGGTTCCCGACTCAGCCGAGCCTTGGGCCGCTGCTGCCGGCGCTGAGGGGCCGCCCCGCGCCGCCGCCCGCCCCGTCAGCGCTGTCCGCTGGGCCCCCGGGCCGGCGCCGCCTTCGAAGTATTGTTTCCTTCACCTTTTTTTTTTTTTTTTGAGGTGGGGCGAAGACTGAGTTGGAGACTTTCTTTTCTTTCTTTCTTTTTTTTTTTTTTGAGAAAAGGGGAATTTCGTCCCAAATAAAAGGAATGAAGTCTGGCTCCGGAGGAGGGTCCCCGACCTCGCTGTGGGGGCTCCTGTTCCTCTCCGCCGCGCTCTCGCTCTGGCCGACGAGTGGAGAAAGTGAGTATGTGCCCGCGGCCACTGCGGGAACTTTTCCTCTGAGGGGCTGCGCCCTGTTTGCGAAACCCGAGTTGCCACCGTCGCAGCTGTCGGGCCCCCGGGCTCGGGAGCGGCGGGGCGGGGCGCGGAGGGGGCTCTGCCGGAAGGCCCGAGCGGACTTGGGGCCCGAGCTTCTTGGTTTGGAGCCCCGCGGGCCCGAGCTCAGCGCATCCCGCGCGGGAAGGGCTCGGGGCTTTCTCTTTCGTGGTCCTGAGAGCCTTGTCCCGCGGCCTGGTGGGTGGGCAGTGTTCAGTCCCTGGCGGCTTAGTGGCCGGGCTAGGACCTGGGACCTAGTAGCGAAGTTGGCACCGGGCGGACCCGCAGCCCCCGGGCCCATTCCACTCTCACTTCGCTCCTCCCTGATGCGCGGGCCGCTCGGCACACACCGCTGACCCCAGCGTGGCGCACAGACAGTGCTGACCGTACCCTTGGTTGTGATGTGCGTCGCTGCTGGAGCAGACAGGGTGCTTGGTGGTGGGGATCGGGGAGCCGCTCGTTCTCCGGGTGCCAGTTGTCCTCGAGGGGAAAGTACCCGGCAGAGAGTCCCCGCAGCCCCAGGACACGTTTCCAAATATCCCGGCGGGGCCTCCAGTAGCACAACTTGCTTTGCTCCTCCAGACACCTTGGGTTCCTGGTCTTTGCCATCATTTTAGAGGATTCGGCGTGTGTGTGTGTGTGTGTGTGTGTGTGTGTGTGTGTATGGGGGGGGGTTCCCTCATCCTTGTCCGTCCCTAGGAAAGTGTGAGGTCGGGACCTTCATCACCCAGGCTTTTCGGGGGCGTGCGACCGAATCCCTAGTTCAGAGGGTTCAGGGGCTGTTTCAGTTTTTTACCCAGCTTGTGGACGCCTTTTTTCCTCCCTAAGGGTCTGGGGGATGGCAGGGTAGCGTCCACGTGTGCGTTAGTGGATGAGTGGTCGGAGCCGACGGGCATTCACACACACGTGCTCGCAACGCGGGGTGTAGCTATGGCCACACGGGGACATCTAGATGCCTGGCCATGAAAAGAGGTGTCGTGCGCTGTCGTGTAGGGAGCTCCAGGATCTTCGGCGGCTGGGGTGGGGGTGGGGGAGGGGGGAGGGTGTTTTGTTTTGCGAGCGCAAAGCCCTGGCCTTGGTTTTGTTGTGGCCAGAGTTTTGTTGCATTGCCAACCCCCCGCCCCACACTTCCTTTGTACGTAGTTAATAAGCAGTATTGCCCCATACTCGCTATCTCTTGCAATCTGATAGCTTTTGTTTTGGTGGTGTCCGGTAGGGGTAGGTAGGCAAGTGCCGGGACATAGAGAATGAGAACTCCTCATGTTATGTGGCGGCAGGAAAAGGAGGGGGTTTTGTTCTACAAAAATAAATAAATAAATAAAGTATGGCGTATTGTTGGTACATTTGAGATGGTAGGGTAACTTGAACACGACTGAAAGTTTAAATGCAGTCGCAGAACTGGGGCTGGGAAGGGTGAGGGCGTGTGGGTGAGTAATAAATAGTTGCCCAAGTATGCAGGTGGTGCCTACTAAGTTTGAAAAATCACGACTGAGCCTTGAGGAGTGAGGGGGAGAAACAGGCAGCGGGGGCTGTGTGGCTCCATCACAGGGAAAAATCAGAAAGGGTGTTTTTATAAACAAATCCTTAAACATCTTGTAAGAAATGAGTCCACGATGGAGGAAGAGTAGATCTTTGCAGAATTAGCCATGTTTACTGCATAGAGTTAGACAGCTGGGGGATGGGACTTCCACAAATCTGGACTCCCCTGGTCTTTGTTTTTCCGAACTTTTATCATACTGGATTGGTCGAAAGGCTTCCAACTCCCTTCTACTGGGGTAGGTGGATCGGGGGGCCTTCTATTCAGGCGTTTAATGGTGTTTGGGGGGGCACAAAAGAAGGTTTCTAGCCTTTAAAAGCTAAATAAATATAATTCAGAAGACATGGGAGAGCTAATACATTTTATTATGACATACTGTTGAAATGTGTAGTTTTATTATTTAATATGAATTCTGAAATTCAAAGTAGCAGTGGATGGCCTTTCTCCTCCCAGACAGGATGCAGGCCATCTTAAAATAGGATGTCTTGTTATTTGGAGCATTCTTCTGAAGATTCTTTGTAAAAGGTGCCTTCTTAAGAACATAAGAGGGGAAAGTGTGTTTTTATGTATGTTTTTAATCCCACCTCACCCAGACTCTTCCCAAGGATTCTTTTAAAATGGTAATTCCTTAAATCCTGATAGATGGCCAGAAGGCACCCCAAATTCTGATTATGTTTTGCTGAAGTCCTGAGTCAGTATCTTCCCCTCCCTCCTCTCTGTAGCTTTGAGGATTTAATCTTGTATGTATGAACATTCCTTTAGTTTTTAGTCTGAAAGGTGTTAGACCACTTAAAAGAAAGCAAGAGAGTTTTTTTCCCCGGAGAGGAGTAGTAGATTGGGGTGTTGTTGGTTCACTTGCAGGTATTGTGTTGACATATTTAGAGATTAGTGACTTCTCTTTTGATATCGACAGCAGTGTGTCATTTTTAACTTAAAAGATGTAGAAGTCATATGGACATGCTTGCTTTGTGTAACTCTACTTGAGCAGATCTTTGAAATAAAGGAGGTTTGGAAGTTACAAGTGACAGCCAAATAATCTCGTGGCTGTTCTCTTTTTTTAAAATCAACAGGCTTTTTTTTTTTTTTTAAATTTATAGTGGCCATCTCCTAAACAGGATTTAGTCATCTTTTTGCCCCAGCATATATTCTATTGTCAGAGAAATATAGGTATGTGAATTGTTGGTGTTTAAAATAGTGTTTTATTATCTACCAGAAGGAGAATCCAGAATAAGAAGTTTCCAAAGTAGCAAATTATAGTTTAGCATCTCTAGAGGAAAATAGCAAGCAAACAGTATTTTGTGAAGGGGTAGTGTGGGGATCAAATGTAAAAGGCCATATGTTTGATTTGTCAAAAGGATTGGAAAATTTTAACATTAAGAAATAAAGTTGAATAGATGAACCTTAAAAACATTACAAAAAGTGAAAGATGTCAGTTATAGAAGATGACAGCTTGTGTGATTCCATTTGTATGAAATGTCCAGAATAAGCAAATCCATAGAGATAGAAAATAGTGGTTGCCAGGGGCTGAGGGAAGACAGCATGAGGAGTGACTGCTAATGGGTATAGGGTTTCTTTTGGGGGGTAATAAAAATGTTTTAAACTTCCTTGGTTGTGATGGTTGCACAATTCTTAATATACAAATTACTGTTAAATTGTACATTTTAAATTACTGACTCTTATGGTATGTGAATTGTATCTCAGTAAACTTTGTTTTTAAAAGTATTATGCTAAGGTTGAAAATGATGTATTGTGCTACCTCAGACATAAAAATTAGATTAAAATTATTGAATAAATTTGTCTTTCAGTTTGGTGCCTCCCTTTTTTTTTTGATGAGTTTTTCAGATCCTTGAATTACAACAATTCAACAAACTGATAATAGAAGCTGTAGCAGCAGAGATTCACTGCCATAGGAAGGAGAGAGAGACAAGCAGGGAAAAATGAATCTTGGGCATACACAGCTTGAGTTAAGGCTTGAGTAGAGGAATTAACAAACACACATATGCTAGTGAAAGTTAGAATTTTTTGGTAGGAAAACCCTCGACTACATCTGAAATGGTGTTGGTCTTTTCAAGATAGTTTAGGAACCTAGTCTGGATGGCTGTTTGCATTTCCAATTTTATTGTGTATGTTTTCCAACAAAGAAATAATGTGCTGTTTTAAGATGGTAAAGAATTTCCACTCTTTTTTGATATGCCATGCTAACCACAAGTGTTAGTAAATAAAGACTGTTCATTTTAATACAGTGTTTTTTTTTCTTTTTTGCTAATTTTATATCTTAAGTAGCTCTCGGATCTGAGCAGGAGGAAGAATCTTTGTAGATTACAGTAATTTCAGGCATTTAGTTATTTTTATTAAAAATATTGAAATTTATTACAGAAAAAAATATTTAAAAATATGGTCAGGACTTAAAAATCTGTTATTCCTTAATATTGTTATTTCTTTATCCAGATTTACCTTGGCCTTTCAATAGAAGATCCAGAAGAATAGTTGTTTACATTGGGTTTTGGTCTTTGTCTAAGGCTTAGTTTACTAATAAAAATGTTTCCTGCCCCTCCTATTGATGCAAGATCAGAGCAATAATGAAAAACAAATATATCATTTTCACTTGTTGCCTTAGCCCCCCCACCCCCCACCCCAGTGTTGCCCTCAAGGAATGGTTGTTTCCTTTTTAATGTGTTTTCATTTGCTTTGTAAGACTGTGCTGTGAAAAGTAACTGAATCTAGGCAGCACTTAGTGGGCACCTACTATATGAAAGCTGACTTTGTGCTAGGCACTACATGAGCCTACAAAGACAGAGAACTGTGTTTTGTTCTTGGGTATTTTATATATAAACTTATGAAAGAAAGTTACTTGAAAATTCAGATTTTTTTTTCAGACTCAGGACAGAATACTCAGGACAGAATACAGAATTTCATGTAGACAGTGAGTAGCATTTTAAAGACCCTTTAAAGACCTTTCTCTAGGCTTAAGACCTGATATACAGCAATGCTGATGGTCTAGTGTATAGCCAGTGCTATGCTATCTTTGCCTTATTAATATTTTCTCTTATATTGAAATGTCACTGTAGGCCATGATGTACAGGCATCTACCCATCTTAATCAACAGCATTGCCTTTTTAATAACACTGGTTATGACTGTTGTGATTTAAAATGTGCAGTGTTGTTACCTTTTGCCAGAATATTGGGAGTCACAGGTGTGTACCTGAATGCTGCCTGGCATGTTTTGAGTTGTAAGAAAGATGGGACTTATTTTGAATTTTTCTTGGATTTGTACATTGCATAGTTAGCTTTCTGATAATCACTGGGAAATGTTTATAATTCAGGCCTTTTTATATATAATTTTTTAAATAACTGTTTTTTTAAGTGTGAGGGACTAAGAATAAGTTTG